TATGGCTATTCCGTGACCTCATGTTTTATGTTATTCCACCATAATTGTTTGCTATCTTCTCTTTTTTCAGTTTTATTGAGGGTTGAAGCTTTAGTCCTCAAGCTTTATCATAAAAGATACAGTTATCATTACAAATAGCCTAGTCCTAGACTTGGCATACAAAGCAACACTTACCGGTTTAAGTTTATTTTACACTAGCGATTTTTGCCAGATTCCTAATTTAATATCCAAAGAGTTTACGGTAAGCTTATAGACAGATTATATCAAGACTTTAAATAACTAAGACGAACGATACTCAAAAATCTTTAAAGGGTATTTTTCTTTTGTAAGTTTAGTTCACAAACGAAGTTAAATATCTTTATTCGGATCGATACATGTGTCTTTATTTAACTTTGCCCTATTTTCATTGGCGTTTAGATACTATTAACTGGCAATCACGGCTACAACTAAAAAGCTGAAAGTAATTGAAAGACAGCATTTTTTGTGTTTTATTTAACAGATAAATTAAAAATGTGTTTTCTAGTTGATGTTTTTTTTTAATCATAAGGCACGACAATATTCATTCTCAATTACCTAACAGTTAAGTTCGCAACATTTGTGCTTTGCACTCACTGAGCTCCGTATTTGGCACACTACATAAAATCAGCTGGTGAAAAGTTCTCAAGTGTCGCACACACACACAACAGTGCAAACCTCTTCGAATACATTCATGAGTTTTACTTTTATGAATACGTGCAACTGGCGGATCACAAGTGCAGTGCCCTCCGCCAGTCCCTCCCTCCTCCCAGAATCAGGAGGAGGGTTTGGGTTCCAGTAACCTTACTAACACAGTGAAAACAAAGAACTGCTAAATGTCATTCATCACTTCGGTCGAGTCTGGTCCATAGTTGTCGAATATTACTTAGGATAGTACATTTAGACTGCCTTGATGGTAGTCCAAGTGGTAGCGTATGCTGTGGTGAGGTCTCGGGTTCGATTCCGGGGTCGGACCAAATGTTTGTATGATCTGCAAATATTTGTTTCGGAGTTTGGGTGTTTTCTAGGTATAATATGTGTGTATTTACAAAAAAAAGTATATAAGTATTCTATCAGTCAGTCTAGCTTTCACAGCAAAAGCTCTGCTTAGTTTGAAATTTGATGGCGTTGTGTGTCAGATGTCCATTATTATTAGTATATTATTATTATTTTATTAAAAAATGATGTTAACAAATAAGGAATTATATTTGTACAAAAAATAACAAGCTATGTATCGAAAATAGTATACCAGGTGAACGAGTTATTTAAGAGAGTTAATAATTTCTTTATTACAAGGGGCCATATTAAGAATAACAACTTTGTATGTATAGGCTTTATCTAGTGTTGATTGATATTTGTCGCTTCATCATCATCATCATCGCAGTCCACTGCTGGACATAGGCCTCTCCTATTGCATGCCACTTCAATCGATTTTCGGCTTCTCGCATCCAGCTCCTGCCATTTGTCGCATAGGTATATGAAATCTTTATACTATCATGGACTTATTTAGAATCTAGCAATGAAATAAACCAAAAAATAAATAAGGCCCAACACAGTGATTCTTTATTTTTCTGATTTAATTCTGTTTAAGGTTTTGGTTTGCTATAAAGAGTTAGACGTAGGTATTAATTCCAGTGTTTCTGTTTGTTTCAAAATATACTAATGCTAATACTATCTTTATATAGTGAATCTAATTAAACGAAACAATTTTAAGGTGTCACAATGTTTATGAAGGGTAACGAGTTCAAAACATGCGATCGTTTTACTGTTAATGGCTGAGAATGTGGTGTTTTAGCACCGAAATTTATTGCTATAGAGAACGAAGATAATAAAATAGTATATAACTGTGTCGTAACTTTATTCCTTTAAATTACTTTAATATTTTATACCTAATTGGAAGTAACTGAACTTATTTTAATGATACGGGTGTAAAAAATATGGTTTGGTCATACATTGATGATGTCCAACTGTCTACATAATAGTTTACTAAAACTTGGTTTTAATGAATTAAATAGAATTTATATGGTGTAAGTCAAACGTACATTAAATATTATTCAGTAACTGTAAGTCAAAAATGCCAAGCCTTATCAATCCTAATAGAACCCATCTCAAAAAACTTGCAAGGACGAGTTAAAAAGTCAATACTTTCTCAATTTGTCTTCCGTCTTTGTAGAACATCCACTAAGTTGCTTTTGAGCTGCTAAATAAAATCTTTGAGAAATACGGACAGAGAAAACAGACAATGTAAATGCATTGCAGCATACAACATTAACTTCCATCTTAATATCCCTTTTAATCCTTCAGGGATTTTCCTCCAGTAGCAGCCCATAAAGCGTTAGTACAGCTAACAGATATTCACTGAAATTTTTAGACCCACAGTACAACATTTTCCAAATCTATTCCATAATTACCACTATGTATAGTGAACACCCCACCATGTTGTACAAAACAAATGGAACTAATTTATTTTAATGGCAAGATTAACTTAAAATATAATTAGCGAGTCATCATTGTTTATTGCTGTTAAGTTATGCTCTATTTTAAGTTTGATATTTTTATATGTTGAAATGCCAAAAAATCATTAATGCAAAAAAATCAACTTAGAATGTTGTCTCGAATTTTTACCATTTCAAGACCTCTTCAAGATAGTTTCAAGTTTGTTTGGAATTGTATACATTCGATATTTTAAAAAATCATTTTTTTATATTATTTATGAACACAAAACAAAAAAGGAAGATATTATAGAAGCCAAGGGCCCATGAATAAAACAGAAATCGTAACAAATTAAAAGTTATAATTTATTCGTTGCTCGAGCAACATTTCGGGGAGGGATCGTAGAGAAACTAATGCATCTGAAAATTAAAAACTTATAATAGTTTAGTTATTTTTGTTAATGTTGTGAGTGTTGTTAATGTGTTAGTGTGTGTTTGTTAATGTAGTTTTCTAAATGGATTCTGTGGATGGATTTGTAGTTGCTGTTTTGGGCAGCATTGATAAAGTAAAGATTATCAGTATTTGTTTGAATGGAAAAACTGGGCATAGGAAGCTTTTTGTTGCTTTGTATAAACACGATTAACGCTGTTGTGCATAGTTACAGTTTAAAAACTGCCGAAAGAAATTTAACATGTAGTTAAAAAAAACTTTCACTTGACTTGTTTCAAACTTTTTTGCTCGTTTTTTAAAATCAGTATACATAATTCGATAATAATAAATAGATTAACATTGCGAATCGATTAATGTTTTTATGTCTACATCCGTAGTATCCTAAAATCAACTTTAAATACGTAATGACCTATTTCCAATAGGAATTCGTTAGAAAACGCACAGAACAGGTCACCGCACCGACATTCCATCGAAGTAATGCAGGCAATATTGCGCGAGTTGAGAGCGAATGAGTCAATAATTCACGAATATCCGCTAGCCTAAAAAGATACACGGAACCGATCAAATGGGGAGAAAACACGTCATACTCTTGTTTAAGAAATGTATGCGAAGGTGTTAATTATGATACGTCTTTTATTACTCTTATCATAAATTGATGATTTACGTAAAAAGGTGCTCTAAAAGTAGAGCATCAAATCGTGGTCAATTGATCCACTTCAGCTGAGTCAAGACCAACTCCTCTTCAATGTTTATGTATTAATGTAATTATAAATTTTATTTACTGATTTTAGGCATTATTTCTTTACTTAAAACTACATGTGTACACATACAACGATATGTATATACATATCAAAACAGAGCCTGTGTGTCGCGTATGTGTTGCGTAAACAATGCTAACATGCTTTCTAATATTTCACGTTCATAGTTCACGATACCGATTGGTTTTATACTATTGCATACAAACACCCGTGTTTTCTTATGATAAATGATATGTGCGTCAACTGATAACGTATGTCAGTGATATCTTAATACAAATAACATATATCTTAAAAAGTGCAACAATAGCAGATCGCTCTGAAAATATAGGATATTGTGTAACAATAAGTTGATCTATATTGTTACATAGTAAAATACCAATATCAGTTAAATATAAGCGAATCCTTTTTGTAGTTTGTAGCGATTTAGATAACTGTAAGTAATGGTGATTAGCCATTGCTTATCTTGTTAATTAATTTGAGTTCAATAATCCACTTAAACCCTCCGTAGCTATCGTTGAACCCTTAGATTAAGGCGGAAACTTTAACTGAAGAGTGTAACCGAAATGGCCAAGAGCGGTAAATTTAGGCTAAATTTAGCGGTAGGTATTATATAAGATCAGTGATAGTCTTGTATGATGAGATACGAGAGAAATTCTAAAATTTGAGGAGAGAACTCGCTGTACTCTATCAGACTTCTGGCATTGGTCTCTATTTGCAGATATTACTACAACTGGGTGGTACGCAACCATTACGGAAATTGCAATATATACCTATATATCGCATGATGAAACGTAGAGGCTATAACTAATCTCGACTTGATTAATGCCTTTTTTGGTACATGTTTTTGGTGATTTATTTTTAAATTTACTTGGAAACTTGGCGACATCAAGCAAGTGATGCTTATATGTTTTATCAAGAACATTGGTAATATTTAATAGACGGTGTCAAGCGAAATTAGGGATTCTATCTGACCTCTGATTCGATAGGCTGAATGTGAAATGATATGAATTTTGAATAAAATTAACTATATAATATCAGTGAAACCATATTGTAAATATTCTGTCAGATGTATCTAAATTTGTGCAAATGTATTGCAACAAATACATATACCTACAAATATCTGCTTAGACAATCTTGAAACTTTATAAACCTATAGAAGTTATCAAGTAAAACATAATACAATAAAATACGATGTAAATACTTTTTAACCCAGGGCAATGAGCATGCAAAATTAACTTCTTTCATAACTTACTGTAACATAGTTACTAAGTTAGAAATGAAGAGAAGTATATATTTCACTATATGTGTCAGATTCCTTTCAGAATTTCTTGTTTGTAAACTAACCTGATCAGGACTAAAGGAGCTGTCTCCACTGGCGTTTCTCTCTTGATTCTGTGCGGTCCGCTCCTGTTTGCATGCCGTGTGATACTCCAACCTGGTCCGCTCAACCTTCTGCAGCATTTTCGCCCACGGCTTCTGTGCCTTCTTGAATGCTTCGTCCATTTCTTTTCGTTCTTTGAGTTGGATCATTGACTGTGGACAAGAGAATAATACGAATAAGCAACTTTTCAAATGGTGACATAACCTGTAATGTTTTGAGTTTAAAAAGGTTATATTTTTGTCGCTTTTTTACAAACAGAGTAAACCTACATTATTGTTAGTTGCCCATAATACAAAGTAGCAGGCGTTGCGTTCAATAAACTTGCAGACCACTACCGTAATCATTCCAGGAAAAGTCTTGAACATTGTCAATTTTCATAATAATATTTACTTTCAGTAAGTGTTTATTAAACACAAAAAAGGGTGAAAAATACGAATAGTAGTAGTAAATATAGGATGCAAAGGAGTAGTAGAATATATCAGAACAATCTTACGATTTAGACTGTTATTCTTTTAATTACTATTCCGCACTACGGTGATACCAACCTTATTATATTATACATTATTTTTATTTAAAAAAAAGAAAAGCTAATCCAAATCCGTCCAGCTTTTCTTAATCAGCCAGTCAGCCAGTCAGTTCAAAAGAGGTACGTACTCACTTAAATTGGCTGATTTGGAGCGAATCTAGATGAGAACATTTAACTTCAAGTTAATGAGATGGAGCAACACGAGTTTTCCTAGTCTATAATAAAAAAAAATATATTTAAAGTGCGTTCGACCGTTCTCTTAAAAGATTTTTCAGTTGTTTTTTAAATAATGAGTATACACATTGTCATCAAAGAATTTGGAAGAAAACTAGATGTGAAGATGCAACTTTAACATAATGCTGTGGATTAGCTTGGGTCTCCTTCGTTGTTCTTAAAATACTTTTGCTCTGTGACGTAATTCGTATTCCGCATCCAGGGAAGGCGACATTCGTTTAGGTGCAGATTAGAGGATTGTGATATAGCGAGTGTGATAACCAGCCAGATTTAACAGTAAAATTCTCAGAAAGTTTGGGGACAATTAACATAATAAAATTGACAAAGAGGAAGTTGTTTAGACTTACCATGCGCCTCATGTTAAGATGTAATAATATGGAGTTTTGAATCTATTTTAGACGAACATCAGAAGAAAACTGATGAATTATCGAATTGTTGGTATTAATATTATTGGAATGAATTAATAACAGATCTTGGATCGATACTAACCACATATTCAAACGAATAAGTAACATTTAAACGTGTTTAATGCATGCACTATTACTACAGAATAAGACGAACTGCTTACAATGCTGTTCATCGCAGTTGTACGTGTACCGACAAATAACTTTCTACTGCAAAGCCTTAAGTGCGAAGTGTATGCGAAGGCACGTTTATTGACGATTTACATAATTGAATTACATGACGGTGCCAGAGACATGAGTATGGGAGAAAATGATAGACGTAGATAGCTTAAGACATCGTACTTATACAGAAGTACAGCAGAAGAAAATCTCACATGTCTGCTCTTATTTCTTCTTTTAGTTTTGCTAACGACCATCAACTTTTGGACAATAAAGGTGATTTGCTAGATTCAATACTTACCCGTTAAAAGGTTGTCTTTTAACTTTATAGATACAAATGAAACTTGATAGTTTCTTCTTTCTAGTGTTTAATTTTTAGATTAAAGTAAGAAATGTGTTGGTGTTGCAATGAAAGTACAATGTTTTATAATTTTGCCAAAACGAACAAAAACGTAACAAAAATAGGTTAACGCCTAATGTTTACTGAGCCCGCAAAGTTTTGAACGTTTTGCGAGACATGTAGAGTGGTGTTGAACATAAAACTTCCAGAACATACATTGTGGTAACATGTTTAGTGTGGAAAGCAGCTTTTTATGGGCTATGCTTTAGATAATGGACTGCCTTATATTCTGCAAAGTTTGCAGCTTTCCAAGTTAAATTAAAATATAATCTTGTTGTTATACCAATCAATATTTTCTTAATAAAATAAAATTAAAAATAACGTTGCCATAGCATTTCTTTATTAATTACTAGCGATCCGCCCGGCTAGATACTACTAATGCTACTAATGTGGTGAGTAATTAATTATACTGTTATTAAAATAATAATAATAACTTCACACATCTCACACACGGCCGTCTGCTATGGTAACCAGACTGCTGATAAACATACTTATATATTTCTAAATAGATACATATTATAGATAAATTACACCCAGACAAAGAATAAATCATCGTGCTCATCACACAATTATTTGATCTGGGTGGGCATCAAACCCACGCCCTCCGGCCCGTCATGATAGGACTATACTACTGGACATCTTTATGTGGAATATTAATAGGACCGCTCCGTTCCTGCCGGCCGTTGCCACCTGGATCGTTCAATACAAGTATATAGTCAAGTGTGTTTCTGAATGGGTGAAAAGAGTCGTATTAAACAACCACATTTAGCCAACTTTAATCCTGCCCTACTTATGTTATAAGGGGTCCCATTTACGCATGATTGTCGTATACCTGTTACTCGAACTGGCTGCTGAAAAGAGATCTGAGATCTCTGATTTATCAAAACAATGTTACAAATACTGTGTATTTCCTGTTTTTCTTGTATAAATAACCTAAACCCTCGCTTTGGTTCATTTATAGTTTGAAACGACATTGCCCGAGAGCGAATCCGAAAATATCGCCTATAAAATATACAGTTTTCTTTCAAGATATGTCGTTTTGGCAAATGAATTATTATGAATAAAAATTAAACATGTTTCTTTAACTTAAATGTAACGTAGTCTCTCTACGTATTTATTTTTGTATTTTCACCAACAGTTATGCTAGGCTAAGCTTGCCTATCTATCCAATAGTTATTTGGCTTAGCACTGACTTCAAAAAGACACAGTGTTGTTGCCTTTTGTAAAAAGTGTCTCAAGTATTGTCTTTCAATTAAATTTGTAATCCAATACTTTTTACTATTCAGTGCTTTTTGTTAATACTCTGCCGATTATTGCATATTTTGCAATGAACTGGACACAATATTTAATTGTGAATTGTGCTTTCTTCTTAATATTTTTAGTTAAATTTTATTTTAGGTTTTTAAGAAAGAAGAAATAAAAAAAAAGAAATAAGCAAATTAATAAAGTTAATAAACCCAAAGACTCTGCTTAAAACTAAATATATATAGTCCTTAATATTATTATTTCTGAAACTTTTATTAATATATATTTACAATAGTTCATTCCGATAAAGGGATTGATGTAAGTACTTCGTGCCGGATCGCTATTTATTGTATTGTGTGGTAGCCTCGCTTCAGTTGATAGTTGACATAGAAGCGTATTCACAATCGTGAGGTACTATTTATCGACGCTATTATTATACTGTGATTGTTAAGTCGTTGCGCTATTACAAATATTATGCAGACATGTTAATTTTGTATCTACTTATTCGTATTACAATTTTATTGTAGCCTGAAATCACATATGTATGAAAAGAATGAAGGACAATTTTTGTAGCAATTTAATTATATCTCACTTGTTTACTGGAGGTGCAATTTTCACTCACTACTTACACTTATTGATATGGGTACCAAAATAATTTAAGCATGTGACTTTTAGATTTTCTTTAATAATGTAGTCAGTAAGAAAACGGGCAAATTATTGTACTCATTATAGAAACTTTTACGCGCTAATCTCTACAACTACAATCATTAAATAAAGCTATAACACTCTAGGCTATGTTAAATAAAGCTATAACACTCAGGTTCAGATCAGTAATCATTCACATCACATCACATCACATCAACAACCTTTAACACTCCACTGCTGGACATAGGCCTCTCCTTAGAAAAGAGGTGACAAACAGGAGGTGATCAGTAATCATTAACGCAGGTACATTATAATAAAGTATTTAATAATGATTTCGATAGTTTCAATTTTTTTTTTTAATTTCTACATAAAAGAAACAGAAAAAGAAATAAATAAGTGTGTGACATATTACAACTTGCTCACGTGGCGTCCTGGTCTAGCCTGTTCTCTGCTGGCAGCCCGGGCTCAATTGTACTCGTATGTTTAATAACAGAATGAAAAACTCTTTAAAGGACATAAGTTACTGCACGGATGGCTTAGTGGTTTAAGCGGTCGCCACGCCGCTTCCTACTACGCTGAGTGTTGTGGGTTCGATCCCGACATATACACTTTGTGTAATCCACAAATTGTTGTTCCGAGTCTGTGTCCGTGTTGTCTTTGTGTCCGTTTCATGTATGTTTGTAAATGCGGAAATTTGTAAATATTCCTAATGCGGGAGTTGTCTTTGAAAAGATAAGAAGATTTAAACACACATCTCACACATTATAGTCTGATCTCAAACTAGGCAGAGCCTGTGCTAAGGTGACCAGACTATTGATAAACAAACAAAATAATGTTAAATTTGTCTGTTTTACTAACGTACGTCGATGAAATATGATTGCTTGTTATTAACCGAACAAAAATCAATTTATAAAGAATTTATTTTAATCAGGTTAGTATCACAATGTGTTTATTGGAAATGTCGTATGTATTATAATTATATCGTAATATAGCCGGTTGAATTGTGGTTTCTATTGGCTTACATTGTTTAGCTACTGTATATCAAACGCCGATGTAGGTGGACAGCTAGCTCGTTGTCACATTCGTTTTTATCAATATAATATTAATATATATATAAAAAAATAAACATTGCACAATTTATGAAGTAAGTCTTTATGGATTTTCTTATTATTAAATGGATAGAATAATACCAAAATAAAAACATATATTCGATTCAAAATCATTAACGTAACACGTGTCATCTGCTTTTATGAGCATCGGAACTGAATGCGAAAGACAAGTTCTATAAGGGATCCATTAAGTAGTTTCCATTTTCATTGACACTCTGTATTGAATTAAATAAAAAAACAACAGACAAACGCAATAAGGTCAAAGGTATCTTTCTGAAGTTGAACGAATATATTTGTTGATGAAACGAAAAAATACGAAAGCATGATCTTAATTTCGTATTCTATTTAGCAATCTAGATATAAAGGTTCGATCACCACAATAGTTAAAAGTATGTCAACATTATCAGATCATCGGCCGCAACACGTGAAT